TAGGTAGCATTGACAGGCATCACTGATGGGCACTGAAAGGCAGCACTCATATGACACTGATAGGGCGGCACTGACTGGCATTGATAGGTGGCACTGATGGATGACACTGAAAGGCAGCTCAGATGGGCACTGAAATGTGGCACTGATGGGCACTGGCAGTTGGCATGGATGAGCACTGAGAGCTGGCACTGATGGACACTGACAGGTGACGCTGCTGAGGCTACGCAGATCATCAGGGCACACAGATCATCAGGGCACACTGATCATCAGTGTCCTGATGATCAGTGTACATGTCCCCTCCGAGGAATGCCGATTACCGACTCTCCTCACGAGCTGTCTGCGTGATTGGACACAGCTGATCACATGATCGAGCTGACATCTTCGGCTCTTTCCGTGGATCAGTGATCCGCTGTGTCTGAGGGACACAGCGCACCGCCGATTGCCGCACTGCGTGCTGCTCCGGGAGCCGCGCATGCGCGGTTAGAGAATGGGAGGACGTCATATGACGTCCTCCCAGAACGAGAGAACCACCTTGCGTCCGTCATATTACTATATGGCGGGCGGGAGGCGTTTAAAAGGTGGGGGTTCACATATATGGTAGTAGAGTATGAAAGGAAGGGGAAAAAACTATCCCCTTGCATAATAATGAGCTAGCATGCATTTGCTTTGCATTTTAAGAGCATCACATAGGGGGTTAACATAAAGTACTGTATATATTCCCCAGAAGCAATATTTTATAAATAATTGGGAACAGACATTTAATAAATGTTTTTGAAGTAATAGAATGCAGTATGGATGGCAGCCCATAAAACCTTTATTTGTACTGTAATAGGGAAAATTAATTAACCACTTGCCCTCCTGAGGATTTACCCCCCTTAATGACCAGGCCTCTTTTTGCTACTCGGCGCTGCACTTATTCAACTGATAATTGCGCGGTTATGCAACGCTGCACCCAAACAAAATTTACGTCCTTTTTTTCACACAAATAGAGCTTTCCTTCGGTGGTATTTGATCACCTGTGCACTTTTTATTTTTCACGCAATAAACAAAAAAAGACCAAAAATTTTGAAGAAAAACAATATTTTTTAATTTCAGCCATAAAAAATATATAGTAAACTCAAAATTAGTTATAAATTTAGGCCGAAAATGTATTCTGCTACATGTTTTTGGTAAAAAAAATCCCAATAAGTGTATATTGATTGCTTTTTGTGAACGTTATAGCGTCTACAAACTATGGTATAGATACTGCAATTTACGCAATTTTTTTGCTATACGCGCTGCGCTAGTTTAACGGACAATTGCGTGGTCATGCAATACGGTACATAAATGAAATTTATGTCCTTTTTTTCACACAAATAAAGCTTTCTTTCGGTGGTATTTGATCACCTGTGCGTTTTTTATTTTTTGCGCTATAAAAAAATATAAAACATGTCAAGTAAAAAAAAATGTAAAAATCAAATTTCGTCATAAATTTCGGCCGAAATGCATTCTGTGACATGTCTTTGCTAAAAAAAAAAAAAAAAAAAAATAAAAATTAATTGGTTTACTGTGAAAGTTATATCGTTTACTATGGCACGGGGAAAGATACTAGGATTTTAAATTTTTTTTTTATACTAATTGGCGGCGATCAGCAACTTATGGCGGCGATTAATGACTTATGGCAGGACTGCGGAGACATTCTTACACTGGGGGGGAACCGACTTGGGGTCACTAACATCCCCAGTGACACCCCTCAGTGATCAGTGCAAAAAAAAAAAAAAAAAAAAAAAAAAAAAAAAAAAAAAAAAAAAAAAAAAAAAAAAAAAACACTGACACTGTACTACTGGCAAGGGGAGGAAGGGATTAACTTTTTTTGCACTGAAAGGGTTAATTGTGTGAGGGGAGTGTTTTTACTAGGGGGTGAGGGTGTGTACTGCAGGGAGACACCCTCATGGTGCTGCATGTCAGGAACTGTCAAGGAAATGACAGAAAGCTGAGCTACTGCAGCCCTGGCTCTGTCACTGATTGCCGCAAATCTCTGGGACACAGCTGATAACAACCGGCTGTGACCCTGCGACTGACAACCGTGGCTGAATTCGGCGGTGAAGGTAGGGCGGCGGAGCGCCTCGCACGCGCCCCCCTACCTGTTTCGAAACAGCACGATTTAAAACGTGCTTTTGCCCAGCCGTGCCGCCCTGCCACCGTTTTTATATAGTGGTTGGGCGGCAAGTGGTTAAAGATTTATTTTTTACCATTCGTACCATAACCCCAACCTTTGAAATACTTTCAACTACAACACATTAGATTGGTGTTGGAGGTGTCATAAAAACTAGAACTACTGTATCATAAACCTGTCCAGAGATGCAGTCCTTTTGGCAAAAGGTTGAAGCCCTAATCTTCACGTTTTTGCAAATTAGAATTCCACTGGGTCTATCCTGCTGGATCTTCCCCCACAGGGAGGTGCCTAAGGTTGCCATAAGGTTTTACCACATTTGTACTACACCAGATGTCTAATTGCATTTTATTGGCGGCAGACACATGGACCCACAATTCTCTATCTTGTTTATTCAAGAATTTAAAATTATGCTCTTACATTGAGAATAGCTTTGTGACCTTTGAGCAGGTATGGGGTCCCTGGATCCACCTAGATGTGTTGTTTGTCTTTGATGTTTGTGATTGATGCAATTTGTTTTAACTACTTGCTTTGTTTACTACTTAGTGTTCGATGTATATATAAAAAAACGTCTTGACGACAAGTAGTTAATATCAGGATGAAGGCTGCAGCCACAGCCATCATCCTGGTACCACTTTATTTTTCAGCCGGTGATCAGCTATTATGTATGAGTGATCCATTTAGCTTTACAGCCGCGTGATCACTTTTACAGCACTGGCAAGGACCCCTATTCCCCCTTCCCACATGGTTCCTGGGCTCTCCTGTTCCTCTGTGACGAATTAAACCAGAAGCTGTAATTTCCTGCCTATTAAAGCCAAGGAAGCAGTTGATCAAACACAATCTGTGTTTAATCAGCTGCTTTGAAGGGCAAGGGAGACATCAGGGGTCTAATAAAAATAAGTCTCAGTAAAGAATACCTGTCACCTATGCAAAGCTATCACAAGGGGGCTTGTCTGCAATAAAGGTAAATGGAAAAGTAAACTTTTTTTTTTAGTATAAAAAGGCAAAAGCATTCCCGTCCCCCCAAATGCAAACTGTCGTGAAGGTCCAGCATGCTTATTTAAAAGATTTTAATCGCACATGTGAGGTATCACTGCGAATGTAGGTACTGCAAGTGCAATAACTCTAGAGCCATAATTCACAATACTCTGAACAGACAACCCGTAAAGGCTTTTAAAGCATCCCCTATAAACACAGCTTTATGTACTGAAGGTTGTCGCCATTTCACAGACGTGCACAGTTTTAAATTGTGACATGTCTTCTTTGACGCAACATATTCTTTGAAATGTATAAAAACTGGTATTTTCTGATTTGTGCATTAAAATTTAATCAAGTGTACTTTTTCCTGAAAATGTGAGTTTGATAAACAGCTGCGCAAACATTGCGTGACAAAAGAAATGCAGCAGCCAGAATTTCATTCTCCAGGGCCTCTGCTTTAAGAAGAATATGTTGGGGGGGGGGGGGGGGGGGGGGGGGTGGGGGGGGGGGGGGGGGGGGGGGGGGGGGGGGGGGGGGGGGGGGTGGGGGGGGGGGCGGGGGGGGGGGGGGGGGGGGGGGGGGGGGTAGGAGGATACTGTTAAAAATCCAAATTATATTTATATGATAATTGAATGATCACTTCAGAAAACGTAGTGACATGTATTAATTGGCCCAGTGGGTGTTAATATTGGTCACATTTTTGTTTATATAAAATTTAAATCTATATAGGATAAGACTGGAATGCTATGTTTTGGACATGGTTTGATGTTAAACTGTATTCTGTCATGATTGCTTACAATATTGGAACAGTTTCTAATAAAGAGATACTTTTATGACAGTATTTAAGCAGCATAAATAGCATTACTGAAAAAGCCACAAAATGAAAAGCTAGAGAACAAAAACTAACTTAACGAGGTACTGAAAAAATATACATGGGACAGCACGTAATTGATGGGTAGCAAAACTGAAAATGACAGACCTAATTAAGTCTTTTTAGAATTCACTAATGACTCTGAACTCATGTAGACAACACAATAAAGTAACTTTGGTAGTAAAGAAACAAAATAGTGTTGTTGAGCAGAGTGAACAGAAGGAAGACATTACAAGAAGGTAAGATTGCTACCCCCAGGTACACAGCCATCTCCTGGAAGGAAGCACACCAACTACTTCTACTGGCCCTATATAGGCCTATATACCTGTGCTGATTAAAATACCAATGGGGCGTACACACAGCAGCCAAGCCTTTACCTTGGGCCTCTCTATACCATGTAATGGCTGCAGTACTGCTTATTTTTCCTCATTTGTGCACTCCGGCAGAGTATAATTAACTATACACTTGTAGATTTAGGAAATCATGTGATTTCCCCCATCCATGCTATACAGCACAGATTAATTATTATGGTGCATCATAAAATTTAGAAAAAAGAAAAAAAAAAAAAAGCATGGAAGAAATAATCTGTTCTGCCAGCTGTAATATTCACACGACTACAGCACAGTGGCTCTCTGAATGTGTGAATGCTGACTGCATCCAATTATATGCAGTATATGTTTTGGCCAACTATTTTTCAAATGGCTCAAAGTTGGTAAAGCCAAGTGGTGACAATAGGGCCACCAACGGCTTGAATTGTGGCCACTTAAGCAGGAAATCGGTCAAACATCAAAATCAAGTCCGTTGAGCCATAGCCAGAGGTTACAAAGTGTAAAGAGACTAGCAATCTTAGTTTAAAATACTTGGTGAGCTTAGTTTATTTTGGATATGACACTGCCAAAACAGGAGACAAAATCTTATTTAAAAAACAAAAAACACAACAAATTACACACAAAAATTGGTTAAGGTCTTATTTGCAATTAATAAGAAAAAAGAAAGTACCTGCAGTGGTGGTTTTAAATCTTGCTGTGGAGCAATATAGCCGACTTGTTGAGATGGTGGTGGCGGTGGTGGGGGTGGCGGCAATCCCTGAGGCACGCTAGATGGAGCAGATACCTGCACTAGAGGTAATGGTGGGTGGAGATGGATAGGGAGTTGAGGATGAATGTTGTATGGATTGTGCTGCATGCTCACTAAGGGGGGGGGATGGACTCCCACTGAATATGGGTAAATATTCACTGGCTGTGGAGGAGGTGCATTCATTGGTGGCTGAACTACATTCAATTGTGTCTGCACCATATTAACTGGCATCTGAGCGCTTTCAGTTTGTTGACTCGGTTGGTCTTTGAGGGCTTGGTCTGTTTTGGAAGAAAATGAGAAGAGGATACATGACAATTAAACAGTGTGCTAAATAGTTAAATGACCCTGTAATACCATGACCTAAACACAAACCTAGGTTGAACATACATTTGTACTAGAACAGAATTTTCTACTTTCTCTGAACAAACGTATTAACAACTTTGTATACCTCTATACATTTTGTGACTTGAAAGATGTTTACATTTCTAAGACAAAAGTAAAGTTACCCTTTAGCACATAGTACAATCTCGATCTAAAACATGTACTGGGGGGGGGGGGGGGGGGGGGGGGGGGGTGAGAAGAATAAGTTTACTGCCACTGCTGACCTCTCCATCGTTATTAATCTGGGTTAAATGATTCCCTGGCATCTATACTTGTGGGTCACCAACCCCAAACATTAAACTACAACCTTAAAAAGGGGACTTTTGTACAACACTAAGAACTGACACTATGGCTACATTTGCATGGGCGACAAGGTTGGCGGAGGCAGCAACTATCCATGGCTGTTGACTCAGCCAGTGAATACCTGCGGTAATCACTGTTGGACACACAGCTGCAGGTGCCAGATACCTGCTATCGTTTGCACCGGAGCTAGTAGTCCGTGCAGATGTAGCCTAATCAACAGTATTTATAAAAATATACAATTTTACTATATACAAAAAATAAATAAAATCTGGAATTTAACTTAAAACCAATTGAACATTGCTGTACACGTAATACTCGTGTGTGAAGTACAAAAGACCAGTTTTAGTTTTTATACAAAAAAGGGCTGATTAACTATTGCTCTTACCAGAATATATTTCAAAATGGTAATTACTGTATTATATTAATACCATGAGGTAAAACTCCAAAGATATGTTGTACTCTCTCAGTACATGTATATTAAAATTTATTGCATATCCACCCAGGGCTTGGCACAAGAACCACTTGCAAAAGGATGGACACAGTAAAACCATAGATGTGCAAAGAAAATATACAGTAACGAATATAAAAAAAGACTAGTCTTCTTTTGTATTTTGAAACCATACCCTAGGTCTTCAGTGTTGAACAAAAAAATCCTTCACTTTTTTACCTTATTTTAAGATATGCATAGGATGGCACCATCTGAGGTGTTTTAGTAAAGCATAGCTACATAGGTACATGGTTAGTGTGGTTGAAAAAAAGACACATGTCCCTCCAGTTCAACCAATAGCCTGTCTTCCCACACCCTAACCCCAAAAATTAGTCCACATTGTTGTTCTAGGTCTGACTGAAAAATGACTGATGCCAAAGACAACCAGGGAGCCATCATTTTCAGAGAAGAAAGTCAGCAATGGCATTCTCCATATTGCTCTAAGTAGTGGATTCCTTTAAAATGTATACCAAGCAACTTTGTAGATAACCTAATAAGGAGTTTTCATTTGCTCTATTTTGAAAGCTGTTCAGTCCCATGTAAATAGTATTGTTTACATTTAGTCTATCTGTATTGTAACTGCAGACACTGCAAAACAAAGCAGGCATATGTGCCACATATCCGCTTGATTGGATGTCTTACAATACCATCCTAAACCAGAATACTCTTATGCAATCAGTGGAGATTATATGCTCCTACAACAAGGCAGCCACAATCAGCTGTCTGGAAAGTAATATGGACAGGGTTTAACCAAATTTCTAAAGAGTTGCCTACTTATCTAGGTATCAGCACTACGGTTATGTGAATCTGGGAAATCAAGAAGGAATTTTTTCCCCTCACTGGAGCAAATTGTATCACTATATTTCTTTTTTCCCCATCCTCTGGATCAACTTTGGGTATACAGGGTTTGGACAAAAAAAATGTTAACACTACATGATTTGCAGGTGTGAAGGCGACGACACGTTTAGCATTGAAACGGAAGTGATGTAACATGCTTTACTTCTGCTGTGTGATGAGACACCTAGCTAAAAGGTGGGAAGTCTCACTTTTGTCATTCACTGCAAGTAATACAGAAGCATATCACTGCTTACTGAGCTTCAAAAGAGGTAAAATTGTTGGTACCCGCTTAGATGGTGCCTGTGACTCAAGTTGGCAATTTATTTGCTGTATCATGAGGTACAGTATCAAAGGTTATGACGGCTTATCCTCTATCCTGGAAACCATCATTTGATAAGCATAGCCAGTCAACATGGTCAACTGACCAAAAAAGACAAAAAGGACATCGCACAGAATTGTGACCCAAAATAATAAAAACAACTGCTGCAAAAGTGACTGCAGAGCTCAATCTCAGTCTTCACGGGACACCTGCAAATCATGTAGGGTTTCCAATTTTCTTGAGTAACCCCTGCAGAATTATGTATACGGATGTTTTCTATTGTTGTGTCTGCGCTTTTTTCTATGGGTTGAAGTAGATGGACTTTTTTCAACCAGACTATGCAACTTTCAACTCTGCAAGTATGGAGCTCTCAGCACATAGAAACAAAAAAAAAAGGAAGGAAGAAGATGGGAGAATAATTTTTATATTTTCAAAATACATCTGCACATATTAGGAGTGCTAATGTGTAAAAATGTACAGTCTTTCAAGATTTAATTGTTGCCTCTCAACCATTGAGGGAGACAGGAATTCTTGGACTGTATGGAGACAGCAGGATAACTGCCCACATCAATCATGCCTTAGTTTTTTTTTTAGTGTCCTCAGGACAGTGGATGTGTCTAGTACCAACAGCTGCTGGTAGATTTATGTAGGATATGTTAAATAATGGAAGTCTCTGCAGTCAGTCAAGGAACAGACAGTTCTCCAGTTCATTACCTACACTGGAGTTCTCCACCGCAGTCCTGTATTTGGCAGTGATCACCTGTCTTTGCAGCATTTCACAGGACTCCACTATTCAGCTCAGGCCAGTAAGTCTGGGGATCCTATACAGATTTATCAATCTAGAGCGAAGGCAGTTTTCCTAACCCAGTCTTTGTAACTCACTGTTGCGAGTACTTAGCAGGCCTATTGCTAGGTTGATGTTTCTTCAGTGTGGTAATGAGGCTATGTATGTGGGGTATGCTACAGAAGCAACTATGTTACTAGCAATTTTGTGTGGAGAGTTACAATTCTTCTATGGTTGACTCACTACGCTTGTAAGAAGTCATCATAGCTGAAGAGCAGGGCTCCAGACATTTGTTTAATAAAAAAACAGCGTACTAGAAGATTTGCAAATAACGTTCTACTTATGGTATGTATAAGAGATACATAAATAATGCCCAAAAACCAGCACAAGCTATTTTAATTCATCTTTTAAAAATATAATCCTTTAATTAGAACAAGAGAAAAATGTGTAACACTGGTCATGTCATTGCTTAAAAACACTCCTGCAGGTCAGTTTAACAGATCACATTGAACTTGTTCTAAATTAGAGGATTATGAGGTAAAGAGTCAAATTTCGATCCAAAAGCTTTTAGATAAAGGGTATCCATTATCCCTAGTCATGGAAGACCATGAAAGGTATTCAACTGAAGATACACGTGCTAGGAAAAAGAGAGACTTGAATGAGATTGAATTTATTACTGCATTTAATTCTTAATTTTTTTTTTTCCAGAAAAACTGGTACCTTTAGCTTTTAAACCCCAGATTAGGCTCTTTTTTATGTAATATTGTGTACAGACGTGCTAGGACCCTCAAGAATATGTTGACACCTAGGAACATTTAGGCCATAGGGACATTCAAGGTTACTTTGACAAGAGGGTAGGCACATATAGATGCAAAAAAAAAAAAAAAAAAACGGCGGGATTACCTCACGTGTCAGTTAATATTACACAGTCAATCCTCTTTTCAAAGCACCAGTGGGGATATTTTTGCCATTAACCAGTTTGTAACCATGCTCTATGAACCATGTTGTGTATGGATTATGCCCCTTTAAGTTACAGTATGAGGGGCATACAAAAATGCACCTTATGCAACCGCATAAGGGGGGCACCACAGATTGATTGGAGAAGGTTCCCCAGACCATTCTGTTCCACGCCATTTTGCCCTTATAATAATAAAAGTATCTCAGCTTTACAATTTTTTGCTATTGAAAGTATGTCCCAACATCTTACTACTACTAAGAAATTTTTCAAATTATGTAAACAAAAAACCTACTGGATTCATAAACTTAACAATTTGCGTCCCCATGGATTAAATGAGGACACAGATATACATACAGATATATAATTATTTTATGAGTCATTCTAATATTTCTATATTATTGCCATTTTTTTCTTTTATTTTTATTCTCTACTATTCTTCTATTCTAATATACTTATATATGATCCTGGACTCTCTTCAGAGTATAAACGGTTAATTTTATTCCTACATAACAGTGGCTATAATCAATTTAAATAAAACAATTCTCATGCTTTATTATCCCTTTTCGCAAGTCTGAATTTATATATAGTGTAGTATGTAATGGTCTGTGTTAATATGCTGCATCTGGTTCTAATATTGCAACTTACTATATTAGGAATGGAGTTGGAGTAATGTGAGGATCAGGTAGTATATTTACATTCCACATCCACCAACCCCCGCCCCTTAGGCAGTTGATAGATTAGACTGCTCTTTGTTCATTGTTTGGATTTGATAAAGAAGCTTTTGCTTTGAAACACATTATTCAAGACTCAAACTCAAGTCCCTCCAGCCACCGTCCCGAGGACTGGGATAGCACGAAGGACACATCCGGCTCAACGGTGACATCACTTCCCAGTTCAGAGCATCTGCATCCTCAAAAGAGGCCATGTTTGTGATTGTCTTTACATCATTCCGGCACCTGAGTCTTGTGCCTGGAGGGTTTAGCCTTATTGTATCCAACTTATACATCCACAGCAATGCAGCCCAGAATCAGGAGGCATTATCACCATTTGGCAAGATCATGTTGGTTTTCTTGATGAATCACTCATGAGTATATTTAATACAATGGTGGCTATTAAGCAATGGCATGACCAGTGTTACATTTTTATCTTGTTCTTATTAAAGTATCATATTTTTAACAGATGGATTAAACTAGCTTGGACTGGTCTTTG